CTTCTTGTTACGGCGCTGGTACACTTTTCCCACCATAACACAAACATGTTATGATAAGACACAGGATGATGAGGACATCACTTCTACAGATACAACCACACCACCTACAGCTATAGTACCATCCATTCCACCACCTGAAGCTAGGCCAGCAATTCACAAATTTTACACAAGAAGAGATCGAAATGTGCTCCTAATTAGGAACCTTGGTGTTGAAGATAAAGATATTTGAGCTGATATTTTGTGCTGTATTTGTGGCTGTCCACAGGCAGTCACCACTTGCAGCCAGCTAGAGTATAGTAGGCTAAACTATTTGTTTGTTACTTGTTAGCTGTCCAGATTCATGGAACAGCCTCCATATTAACAGTAGTTAACTGTTGCCACTACATTGTAGTAGCATGCATTGTAGCAGCAGCCATTTTGGCTATAAAAGGAGGGGTACCTCCATATGTAAGAGTTGGGTTTTGTTTTAGTTCAGTTCCTTTGGAAACTACTGCTTGTGTTGTCTCTTGTGTCGGTTAGACCAACAGACCAACCTCTACTCAAAGCCCCATCTTAATATTTCACTATATACTTGCAATTTCAGATTGCTTGCACCTTGTTCTTGCTGGTTTTCTTCCATTTCTTGCAGAAACAGACTCTAGTGGTCAGGTCAGCTTGGTTTTGACTAGGCTGATAACATCTCAAGGGTTGGTTCAGCGGTTGCTAGGCTATTGGAGCCTCTTGGTCAGCAGCCTGGAACGTGTAAGTCACCCTCACAATTGGAAGACATCTCACCTCACCGAATGGTTGGGCCTCTAAAATTCCACGTCACAAGAGATCTATTAGACATTACACTCCTAAAGTAGGTAGAAACATAGAAACTAACCAGCCTCTTTTCAGTAATCTAGCTGCCACGGCGGAAACTTTCGATTGCACATAGCCATCTGGAGAACTTGCATGCTCCATAACATAGTTTAAACAATATCTACAAATGATAGAAAAAGTTATAGTCAGCGCTAAAAACATGATGCTCCCACATTAATTGCAAGCTTTCACCCTCAAAAAGAAAAACTCACATTATTAGGCTTCTTTTGTTGTCATCTGTAAGGATTCCCCACTCCCTTACTGCAGCATCACCAATTGCACCAGCAGCTTGGAATCTCGCATTAGGCATTTGGGATGTCTCTGGGAAAATATAATGTTTTCAGCTCTTTTTGAGTATCTTAACACTAGAGAAGAGCGAGGATTAACTACTTTTTATGAGAAAAAGAACAGAATAGTTATTTTTTCGGCACAAAAGCCCCAAAATAACAAATAATAAATGGGGTAAATTATTATTACTTTCAGTCTGCGGAACAACAATTCGGACAAACAACTAAAAATGTATCTCCCTTCAAAATGGAAACAACATGTACATAGGTTATATGGAAACAACATAACTAATACATCTTGAGATATGTTTCTGCTAGTAAGTCCTAACCTTACTCAGTTGTGAGCTTAAAAATGGATATATCTGCTCTGTTGAGAAATAGTTCTGGTTCATCATAGGTGCATAGCAAGAGAACAGCATACCAAGAATGAATCTGCATGCTTGATAAGGCATCAGAGACGAACGCAGCGAAGTTATCACCATCTCCGCTTCAGATGGATTCATGTGCAGCTGCAAAATTACCCATTGTCAAAAGGATAGATGCTAAATCAACACAGATGCAATAGATGGCATTCTACAAGAAAACTGGCGTGTTCATTAGCACCATGACAGTTCCATGTATTAAGCTAAACACAGATACCAGGAAGACACTCCTGTAACAAAACTTCACATAATTTGGGCAGCTTGGTTAATGTTAGGGAATAAACTAAGGATCCATAGTAATAAAAGAACAAAATCACACAAGAAGTGGAAAAAGTTGAGAACAGCTTGGGGATAGATTAATAAGGATCAGCAAATGGTATTCCGACAGTGTCTTTCTCTGCACAGCACAGTTCTACTAGGCCCTCCTAAGTCCTAACAGATAGCTCAACTGCTACATGCAGATTCCCAAATCTGAAATGAGGAGCTTCAGGTTATCCAATGGATAAATGTGTCGCAACAAAATATCACTAAAGCCACCCTATAGAACCAGTACTATTCCCTAACGTAGAGATTACATGCTTTAGAAATGCAATGTCAAGACAAAAAACTTTTAATTAACCAGCATTTACGGGATTCATAGCCAACTTTCAAATGTGTTAGAAGTCATTAAGGCACTAACATAAAATGTGTTAGAACTCATTGAGGTACTAACATCTCACTCCTAAGATATCAATTAACGTGCCCAAAACAAACAAATTAAGCAAGCCATTCAAAAATTCAAATGCCCAACAAAACAACCAATCCGTGGCGAAACCTCATCTGGCACGGCATCAAACGGGATCCCGTCACCAAATGCACAGAGAAGCACCGATCAACAGACAACAGAGCACGCCACACACGCTCAATCAAGTCCCCCAGGCAAACCATCAAAGTGCAGTAAAATCTGCATAACCTAGGCAAATCATCAACGGCGTGAGCACAATCAAGGCAAGCACAAGTCCGCTCGCGCGCTCTCCGAATCTAACACCGGGGCACCGAGAGCAAAGTGCTAAAAGCACGGAACACGAGGAATTCAAGCTCTTCAACGAGGGTGTGGGCTGCGGAATGGGACCTGGATGAGGGAGCAGGCCTGCTCGATGGCGAGCATGGTGGCCTGGAGCTGCTGCGGATCGGGGGCGCCGCCGGGGAAGCCCTGCATGGCGGCGGCTGATCGCGCCTGAAGCGTGGTTGGCTCTCCGCGATCGCCTAGAGTTTGGCCGCCGGCAAGCGGCCGCCCCGCCGGGCGCGGAGTAGCTGCGGAGGGCAGGGAGGCGGCGGAGGTGGAGAGCAGCAGGAGAGGGGATGAATGGTGGCTGGATAGTTTTGCGGTTTTGGGTCTTCTGGGGGCCCTGGGTCCGGGTGCGGAGGTGGAAGTGGAACAGAGACGACGACGCAGCCGGCGTGCTTCGCTGGCGCTGTGAGCGCTGTGTAATCATCGATCCAAGTGCTAGCGAATTTCCTTTTTTTTTATGCTCCCTCTGTTTCCATTTAATCTGAGATACTTTTCTAAAACATAATAGTGCCTTAACAGTTTGATTTCCTAAACTGTCGAACAGTGTATTTTAGGAAATTAAACTTACATTTAATCATCGATGCTTTAACAGGTGTCGTAAAAATACACTGTTTGATTATGTGATGAAAGTAGTTTAGTGCGAGATGAATCTGCTGCGAGCATATATTATCCATCTATATAACTTTTTATGTATAACATAATAGTGGTTTACGTTTTCCAAGGTGTTTTATATAAAGGTAGGATGTATGTGGGTATACTCATAAAGGTAAGTGCACGTATGTATATGAGCTTATGTATCGATACTGTGGTTGAAAAGGGTTAAAGAAATTTGAAACCAAAAGGAGTATTTGTTTTTAGGTCTTATTACTCCTCTATTCTCTTTGTAGGTTTTGTATGGATCTATTAGCAAATCTATCTCTTACAAAACGCACATGTCCCACTCAAGGGGGTGACAAAGATTTAATAATACGCTAAGATTTTATCTCAAGCAAGAAAGGGGTTCGAAGGGTAAACAATAGAGGGCAACATTAAAAAGAAAAGAAAAACAGAAAATAGGGATGGAAGAGGATGACATTAAGTGTTAGTATATTGTCTAAGCCAGGCTACATTGAAATCATTGTAGCGATGACCTGCGCCAGCCACAGCTATAATACCGAGCACATCCCCAAAGTGAATAAAATAGCGCCAGCTTAATATCCCTTCGTTTTGTCTTATCAGCTTTCTACATTTGCACTAAATTATGTATCTTCTATTAAATCAACAAAAAAGTGTATAAAGATGATATTTCTAGCTGTCCAAACAGTTTAAGGCAAACCATCAAATCAATCGTCTGTGATCGGAAGGATTTCCGTTTGATAGATTACCTCCAAACCTGACAAATCGCATTTAACATATTGTCTCCAAAGAAAGAGTCGTCCCAAAAGCAAAGCAAAGGTTACCACAAAAGAAAGCACAGAAAAGTGAAGCCAAAACTTTCATGTTTCAAGGAGAAAACACAGAAAAGGCGAGGACCAGCCAGACACAAAAGCTGGAGAGCTCCAGGATGCGGCTCAAAAGCCGGGAAAGACCAAGCGCAGTGGCAACAGGCAACCTGTCGGCCCATATAGGTCCCATGCTCCCTGCAAAAGCCCACGGCCTAGCCAGCACGTCAGATTCTCTTGGGCTGGCAGCGCGCAAACGGCAAGCCCAACCCGACTCGTGCCACCCCCGGGCCGAGCCCCTCGAGAGCGAAGTTTCACGCGCGCGGCGCGCAGGCCGGCCCACTCCCCCGATATTTCATGTCGCTTCCACTGGTGGGCGACAGTGCGACACGCGGGGCGGCCGTGCCAGTCCACCAACCGCTTCTCCGCCGCTACTCTTTTTTTTTTGTTTACTCTCGCTCACCGGCGTCCTCGCTTCGTGTGCTTGCTTCCGGCCCACAACGCCGCCTTCCGCCGCGCCGCCACCTCTCGTGCCCGGGAGCTCGTCTCGCACGGAGAATTTCAGATCTTCGGGCCGTCCTCCGCGTGGAACTCCGTTCCAGCATTGTGCCGTTGTGCGCCAGCGTTGCAGGTGTTCCCGCTGTAATCCGCTAGAGCTCGTAAGCATCTTGCGGAGGCTGTCTTCCTCGCATTTTATAGTTTGTGCCAACACTGGTGTCCCCCCTGTTAAAGAAATCTTACATGCTTGTCTGAGCGAAATTAGTTGGGTTTATTTGCTGCTTGATTGTGCATAGGGCGTGTTTTTACTTGATTCGGCGCTAACGTCGCCTTATCTACTCTGTGCAGGAAGGAATTTGAGGGATTGCTTGGGGAAATCCTCTAGTTCGAGCGAGCTATATGAAGAGCGGAGTGCGTTGTTTCTCAAATTAAATTCCGTGCAGTTAGATCTTGCCATGGTTGGTTGCTCCAGAAGGAAATGGCGCATTTTGTGGATATAAGCTGCTGCGGATGCGGTATTTGGTCTGCTCCAGTAATCATAAACGCGTCTGCGCGCTCTTTGCGGATAAGAGCACGTGCTGTCTCTTTGGATTATCCCAGTAGGACTGAGCAGAAGAATGAGACTAATCTAGTGGTGGTACTACCAGACCGAAGATTGCGGGATGTTTTTGTCGATGCAAGTGCAGACCATGGAAGTGTCAGAGCAACTGCAGATTTCAAGAAGGTTGTTCCATCCTTGGATGCTAATCCGAGAAAGCTGTTGAATGAGCAACTAAAACCAAGAAGGCCCTTGGATCATAACTCGGACAAGGTGGCAAACGGGGCATGCTTTTCAAAGCATAAGGCCGAGTGCTATGCGGACAGCCTCCGCAGGCACTGCAACAATGGGAAGCTCATTCAAGCTTGCCACGTCATCGATGAGATGGCGTTACATGGCCAGGTTCCAGATTCAAAGTGCTGTGTTAGATTAATTCGTGGCCTTGTGAGAACTGGTAAGACAAACAAAGCTAAGCATGTTCTTGAGGTCATGGTGCTTTCGGGTGGGGTTCCTGACACCATCACCTGCAACATGTTGATTGCGCGACTTTGCTGTGAAGGGCAGCTGAGTTCTGCCATGAAAGTATTGGAGGATATGAGGTTTACTAGTTGCTCTCCTAGTGGCATCACTTTCAATACTTTGATTAGGTGCATGTGCAGCCATCATATGTATGACAGGGCAGTCTCCTTTTGGAAAGAGCAGCTAAAATTAGGTTGGCCACCATATGAGATGACGAGCACCTTGCTTGTTGACCTTATATGCAAAAAATGTGGCCCTATGCGGGCTCTTGAAGTATTAGATGAACTTGGTTTGGAAGGATGTCAACCAGATGTTGTCAGCTACAATACTCTTATCAGTGTGTCATGCAAAGCAGGCTGTTTGAAGAATGCAAAGTTGATATTAACTCGTCTTTCAGCTGAAGGCCTTGAGCCAAATGGTACAACCTATTGCATCTTGCTTCATTCCCTCTGTGACAAGAGAAGGTGGTCTGAAGTAGGTGATTTGCTCGCACACATGAAGCAGGCAAATCATAAGCCTGATGTTACTGCCTACAATATCTTTATAAACTACTTTTGTAGGTATGGATATCTGGATCAGGCAATTGATGTTCTAGAGATGATGGTGAACGAGAAATGCTTTCCTGATATAGTGACATACAACACACTTCTGAATGCCATCTCTAAAAGGGGGATGGTCGAAGAAGCTCTTGGGATTTTTCATTCCATCAGAGAAAATGGATGCCAGGTGGTTCGCATTACATACAACACCCTCATAGATGTTTTAGCAAAGAAGGGTGAGGTTATTAATGCTATGACTTTACTTGATGAAATGATTGTTGATGGGATCAGTCCTGATGATGTCACTTATGGTTCACTTGTTATGGGTTTCTGTAAGAAGAACATGGCCAAAGAAGCACTGGAGCTTTTGAATCAGATGCTTGCTCTCGGCTTTGAGGTTAAAGCAACTACATTTTCCCTGATGATCCAAGCATTGTGCAAAGGTTGTAAAGCTGAAGCTGCTGCTGAAATACTAAGAGTAATGGTATCAAGAAATGTCAACCGCAGGAGTGCATTTTATCTGTCTATAGTCACAAGGGTTGCCAAGTCAGGTCGGGTTAAAGAGGCTCAAATTCTACACCAGGAGCTACTGCAGAGCAAGGTCCTTAAAGAGAATTCCCAATTTATTTTAAGCAGCTAGTTGCTGGATTGCAAGATCCTCATGTCAGAGTCATGGAAGTGATAGAACACACGAGTCAGCTGACATAGCAGATAATTCCTGGAAGTTTTGCAGCGCATAATATGCATAATGTCTTCGGTAAGGTACATTGCTCCTGTTATTTTTGTTTTGGTGGTTTTTTATATTGCAAACATAATGGGTATGGATGGAATGGTAGTTGTGACATGGTTCCTGCCTTTTCAGTCTCATATGAGACTTCTTAGCATTCCTTTACAAACATTTTCTAGAACCTCATGTGCTATCAGTGACTAGGCTCGGATGGTCGGTTCTATACAATAGCACGCTTTCTTTTTATCTGTATCATCAGCGCATGTCTCACTTCTGTTTTCACCATTAGAATATGTGAATCAAACTTACAAGACAATTTGCATGGTGAGGTATCATTTTTTGCAAATATATTTATTTCTCAACCACATTGTGTATTTGTGTTCATTGTCACTAAAACTGAGTTATTATATTTAGTCAGGCTAAGCCATATTTGTTACCATGCTATATCTAAATCTGTTGCGTTTTGCATGCACTGCTGCACTATATTCTTTTTTTAGATGGCTGTATTTCTCGCTGCATTTGAGTTACATATGACTATGTATGTATATGTGAAACATCAAGATCTTACAAATGCTTTACCCATGCCTGTCATTTTTCTCTGTTAAAGTAAAATCAGCTGATCGTGTTCTAGAAAGAATAAGCACTCTTGATACTTAGAAAAAAAGAGGACGGGCTTCCTGGTAGCTTCTGACACTTCTGTAGCATAATACTCCATGACTTCTTTAGAGAAAAAAAAGCCGGTACATATCTTCATACAGGGTCACAGACTATCGTGCTATTGTTTTCAGGTCCATGTTTTTGAAGATAACTGTTGACCAGAACTCGATCATGATGCATTCTTGATGGTTCATGCCTTCATGGCATAGACTGGATCATGATGCATTCTTGATGGTTCATGCCTTCATGGCATAGACTGGACTCCGCGAGGTCATGCTCCACATTTCTTTTTTTGTCTCACCAGCAGCAGCATTGTTCAGATACCAAGGTTCTGTTTCATAGTTCTGCACACGCTCACTAAACATGGTTATTGGCTGATGATGGATTGCAGAGTAAATTCCCTCAATGCCATCGAAATTCTTCGTTTGTGCTCATTGAGCAACCTCAACTGAACCTTGATTCTCTAAATAAAGATGGCCTCCTCCTGTATTTCTAGAGGATTGACAGCAATCAGTGCTTCTTGCAAAGTTGTATAGGGTAGTCAGGTTGTCCTCGCGTTGTACCTATAGCCTTCCTCCTAAAAATGTTAGATCTTGCAAATTGATGCCCAAACATCTGCCTTACCTGTCTCCACTGCACAAATTTGTCGTAAAGATCGGCTGCAATTGCACCTCCGTGTCCAGATGTTATTCCTATCTTCGCCAAACATTGGTTGCTCGAATATCCAACGGCTGAGGGTCTATTTTATCGTAGCTTAAAATTAGCAGGTGAGGAAAATTTGCTAATAAACTTCCTAAATACTTCCTCTATTCCAAATTACAAGACATTTTAACTTTTCTATTACTATGTATCTAGACATAGTGTTTATATGTAAGTACATAGCAAAAACTATGTGTCTAGAAAAACTAAAACAAACCAAAACATCTTATAGTTTAGAATTATATGAAGTATTAGCTAGCGAAGTTGCTACCAATTAGTTTATTGATGAAGGGGTACTAGTAGAGTAATAGTCCATATATGCACCTCCAATCAACTATCTAACCATCTATTAATAGGTAGATCTAAATGTCCCTGCTAATAATTAGTTAATAATTAGCGGTTACTCCTATTAACTAGCTAGTAACTATATTAGCATTGGTGGATCCAAACAAGTCCTTTTATGCTGAAAGTGCATCTAACCAGTTGTGGGTTTTATTATATTAGCACATACAATTAAAGGGGCAATATTTGTGCCAAGTTTTGGATAGGTTATCTCTATCTACAATTAAAAATACTAAGATGTCATCGTCTACCCGGAGCTACACCATTTCGCCTGAATCCCCCCTCCCCTCTCAATCGAATTTTTGTGTTGACATGTGGACTCGGTAGGACGATTCGCCTTTCTCGTGTGCATCCTGCGACCCCATGCTCTCCCTAAATCCTAGCTAGCTTGGCACGCCACCAACAAGCCAGCAAATCGTGCCTCCCTGCCCTGCCCTGGTGATGTCGTTCGCCTGGTGATGTCTCTGTCTCAGCCGTCACTCCCTCTTCCACACATCAGCCTCAAGAACGCCATAAAGGACAAGACTCAAGGTGCCACGACCTTCTATTTTTTTACAACAGCTTTTAATATATAGCGTTAAAGCACAGTACAACAGTGTGGGAAAAGAATTCTCAGATTACAGAGCACAGATAAGTAAAAATTACTGCTAATATGCTTCTGTAGACATAGGTGATGCTTCCATCGAGGGCACGGGGGCCGTCGGAGCCACAGGGCCCATGAGAAGTGGCCATGATAGAAACATTGAGGGTCCTCATTCTTGCACTTCGATAGCATAGCCGACGCTCTTCTCGACTGTCTGATCGGCCTGGGTCTTCGAGGATTAGTAGTCTTGAGCCGTAGATAGGATGGAGGCTTCATCAGGCTCAAGAACATGGAACCACAGCCAACAATGCCAAATCTGAGGACCTGCATCAACTGACATTGGTGGTCAACCCGAACACCAATGACTGTGTTACCACTTCCATGTCTGTAGATAAAGAAAAAAATAGGTTGACAGAGAATATAGACTTGCTGTGTCTGGTGGACACACGCAGAGCAAGAGATGGCCACCAATTGGACACGGAACCGCCCATGAAAGGGGAGCCTCTTGCATGGGATGCACGTTGCACTTCAGGAGGTGGACCCCATAGCGTAGTAGGCAGGGCACATCCACACCGAACAGATCGGAAACGCCAAGGAAGGGACGGATGCAGGAAGCCACAGCGGCGAACGGCACCGCCGCAAAGGTTCCAACTGTGGACGCTGAGGCCAGTGCAACCTCCTCCGCTCGGGAGTTGTAGCCGACCTTGGCCACCATGGACGCAGGCGCTGGAGACGAAGAAGGCCGAGAAGGCGCGCCGATGCACGCATTCCATGCCTCCGACCTTCGCCCTCGTGGTGGCTCTCGTGGCCAAGTCGCCCTAGCCTATTGGCGTGGAGGAGGAGAGCTCCCGCTGGAGCCCCCATGACAAGCAGCCGCACCGACCGGGGGCGCGCTGACGGGAGGCGCGCCATCGCCGAGGACGTCGTTGTCCTTCTCGCCTTTTCGTGATGTCCAAGACCGAGATGGACGGGTTGTAGTCACCGGATATGTAGGGTTGTTGGTCGAGACCAGCCATGCCTTTGTTGAGTTCTGTCGGTCGCACCTTCGAGATTCCGCCACACTTTCTCAAGATCCCTTTCTTCGATCGAGGCAGGCCATACTGCCCATGCACCGCTCATAGCCATGGAGCCTGGCAAGCCGTGCAATCCGGCTACCACACATGCCGACTAATCCTTGAGAGATGTTAAATAATTTGTTGCTCTCACATCTTTCTTTGTCATAGGAGCATTGTAACTGCTCCCTCCCTTTCCTGTCAATAGGACAACAGTAGTTGGGAGTATGGCTATAGTGTCATATAGTAGGTAGTATGACTATAGTGCCAAGTAATGGGAAGTATGACCCTAGTTTGACTTCTATAATTTAGCTTCTATATGAAGGAACTGGCTTGCTACAACCACAAATAGTTAAGTAGTCCAATTCACGTGTTCATGTGTGTGTTCTAATCTCCTCTTCTTCATCCTCTAGTGTGTGTGAGAGTGAGGGGTATGGCGATACACACCCATGTGAAAGCTCTAGTTTGATTTTGGTTAATTGATGAAACCCTAAGTGCTAACCTAGTTTATCAAAGTGATTGTGAGATAGGTAGCACTACTCCAAGTGATGAAGCAATGACGAAGATCATGACAATGGTGATGGCATGGTGATGATCAAATGCTTGAACTTGAAAAAGAAGAAAGAGAAAAATAAAAGGCTCAAGGCAAAGGTATAAATAGTAGCAGCCATTTGTTTCGGTGATCAAGACACTTAGCGAGTGTGATCACATTTAGGATCGATAGCCGTACTATTAAGAGGGGTGAAACTCATTGAAATGCGGTTATCAAAGTGCCACTAGATGCTCTAACTCATTGCATATGCATTTAGGATCTAGTGGATGCTAACACCCTTGAAAATATTTGTGAAAATATGCTAACACTTGTGCACAAGGTGATACACTTGGTGTTTGGCACATTTGAGCAAGGGTGAAGAAGATAGAGGTGAAAAGGAGTTGGTCTCGTTGGTCACAAGGTGACTGGACGCTGGTCTCAGAGGGACCAGCGCTTTCGGTCAGTAGTAACAGCGAAGACGCTGGCATCGGTCAAACAACCGGACGCTGGGTCGCTCAGCGACCGGACGCTGGCAAGCTGTGTCCGGTCATGTTGACGTGGCAGCACAGAGAAAGACACCGTGTGACCGGACGCTGGCTGTGTCCGATCAAGCATGACCGAACGCGTCCGGTCGGGAAAAACCGTCTCTGGAAGCTTACTGGAAACGACCGGATGCTGGGGTTCAACGTTCGGTCACTGTTCGCTGCTGCGTCCAGTCGTCTTCTGACCGTTGAGATCGGGCGAACAGCGTTTGAAGCAGGGGACACATGGCGAAGATCTGAGGACCGGACGCTGGGGTCGAGCGTCCGGTCAATCTGACCGGTGTGTCCTGGTCGGCCCGTGTTCTGCGCAGTGAGGAGCCCAACGGCTCTATTTCGTAGGGGCTTCTATTTAAGCCCCATGGCCGGCTCAAGTAGCAACCTTGTGAGCTTAGCCAAAGCCCTCCCACTCATCTCCATCATTGATTCATCATCTTTGTGAGATTGGAAGAGAATCCAAGTGCATTGCTTGAGTGATTGCATCTAGAGGCACTTGGTAGTCGTGTTTT